CTAATTTGCACAATCTCCTAATATGGTTAATATAGACATTCTATACTTCTACCACACATTAAAAAACAAAGTGTAGAACAACATGCATTTCAGGTTGTGATCCTTAGGAAAAAGAAAAAAAAAAAAAAAAAAAAAAAAAAAAAAAAAAAAAAAAAATAATAATAATAATAATAACAGTAACAACAACAACAACAACAATAATAATAATAATAATCCTGACTACATATCTACCCTACAAAAGGATTTCTTACCCTCAGGTTCTCCACCATCTGGGGAGAGGTTTTGCCAAAAGATGGTGTGATTGATGTGACCACCTCCATTGAACTTGAGTGCTGGGGCCAAGCTGATGACTGTGTTCACATCACCTGGAGCAGTAAATATGGATAAATAAAGAGAGAGAGGAAAAAAAAGGAGAGAAGATAAGAGAAGGGGGAGGGGGGGAAGGAGAGAGGGAAATGGAAAGGAAGGAGAGAAGAGAAAAGAGTGAGAGGGAGGAAGTGAGGAGAGAGATAAGAGACAACAGAAATCTATATTTTAAGATGTCTGGCTATTATTGAACCTAATTCATGAAAAGAATCTAAATAAAACTGCTGCAAGACAAAATATAACAAACGTATCTTTAAATCACGCAAGAAAGTAAAGAGAGTGAGGAATAATACATATTTCTAAAAATCAAATCACTAGAACTTCAATCTGCACTCCAAATGTAATGTTATCCTATAGTCCCTACTCCTTGAAATCTGTACAACCTATTTTGAGAAGTTGTAAAGGAAACTTCAGCTGACCTTTAGCGTGGGCTTCTGCCAATTTCTCCTCAGCCACATTCAAGTTGTTGACGTAAGTCTGGTGATGCTTTGAGTGATGGAGTTGCATGATCTCGGCACAGATGACAGGCTCCAAGGCATTGTAATCATAGGGTAAGTCTGGCAGGGTGTGCTTCTGCTGACTTCTCACTCCAAGGGCAGCCAATCTGTTTACGGGGTAATTAAAATAGTTAACCCAAGGAGTGCAGGTGGCAAGACTACATTGTCCTGCCTACTGTAATAAAAGTTTTATTTATTGTCTTTAAACACAGATGGCTCTACAAGTGCTTGGTCACCAAGGAGTCAGCTCTTAGTCTTACCTACCTCATCTGTTTACCCTCTTCCTTCATTTTTTGAAGGCTTCACTTCTATTATTCTATTGTCTTTGATGTTATTAATATTTTAACAGCTATTTAACAATTATAATATCAATAAGAATGATAATGTCAATACAAATAGTACTGGAAAGAAAAATACATATTCCTGCCAATTCAAGAAATGGGGAAATCAGGATCAGTCACTACGGCCAACTGATAGACTCCCTGCTGCTGAGAACACGTGGAGCCATTTGCATGTAACAAAGCTCACTAAAATCTAAAAGGCAGTAGATAAACCTGCTGACACTGGGTTAATAGCATGGTGCTATGGCTTTCAGGAGAGATTTTGGTAAACAGACCATTCAAAACAAAGGAAAAAATGGGTATTGCCAATTTTAGTATATACCTCTATATTCCCGATTCTTGTAACTATATTAACAGTGTTTAACCCCCCCCCCCCCATTTCAGTTCAAGAGGTCTGCAATTAGACACCATTCATTGATAAATTGAAGATACAACTTCCTCTACATTTAAACCATTGGATCTGTGTGACATAACCATCATGTATGGCTGAGGGCCAGATGAGGGAAATGCACCGTCATGAAAAATTTGGCTGAGGGCTGGGGTGACAGGAATGACTCATCATGAGTGCTCAAAGCTCTTGGAATATTACTCAATGGGCATTTAGGAAGGAACACTATTATTATTTAATGAGGGTGAAATGTACCATTTTGTGAGCTAAGACTGGAAGAGTGCTGGTTCCTGGCAGGACATTACTTCCATGCTATTCCTGCACAACATGACTAGTGGTGCAGGGTATGAAAAAAATTAAATACAAAAATGTAAAAAAATTGTTATTACAGATTATCAAGAGAGATGATAAGGCGTCTGTGTAAGGAAAACGGTATATTGCCAACTTGATACAGACCTTAGAAAATGGCAAAAAAGCAAAACTGCTCATGCAGAAAAAGACATTGCAAAAGGGAGGCAAGGAGTCTTGATACTGCACAAGAGTGATTGTGTGGGCTAAACTGACAAGCCACACACCTGGGAGAGCTGCCACTCAAGTCTGATCCCAGATTTGGTCCATGTGTGGGATGTGATGCACCCTGATCTAATGGGTTATGTGACATATGATAAAAAATAAAACTTATCAAAACAGCCTTTTAAACACAGAAAATTACTATTATTATAAATTTCCTGTCTCAGTTCAAGTGAAAACTTTCTTGATGGAGAGCCAACAAAATGGACTAAATGATCAAGGATACCATAGCAAGGGAAAAGGCATACAGGCATCCCTTGTTGTATGATCTTAAGTTTCCCATGCATACAGATGATTCCTAAGCAATCAGTGATAGGCAATGAAATGCCTTCATATCTGAATGAATTACACAAGTATAAGGATCTATGGAGGAAATAATGTTGGTAGATATAATAGCTAAATTAAAGACAAAAAAAGCTTTACTAATCCAGCCATGCTGAATCTGGCAGTTAATAATTTGCATTGATTGCTGCATGTTGTCTGCTATGGGATCACCACTCATTGGTATTGTTTACATTGATCAGTTGCTGACTTACAGCAACTGATGCTGCTTTTATTTGATTTCTGATGTTCTACCCATATAAATCTTATTTACATATATTGCCCTTTACACTTTATGTCCTGCCACTTTGACACTTTTCTGGTCCCAAGCTTGTAGGACTAGTAAGACAACCTTGAAACCTAAACTTCTTGTCAAAATTAAAACCTGAAACTTCCAGTCCTTAAGAGTAGAGGATTAATCAAAGACAACTTAAGAGATGAATAAATTCTATGTTGCTCCATTTTGTATACCAGTGAGGCAAAGTATACAAGCATTTGTTGGTCAGGCCAAGTCATACTGTGGATTATAAGAACATCTCACATTTCTGTTTATACTGGTCTTGTCAGTTCAGAAAATCAGTGGTAAAGATTTTCATCTTCAAAATAAGTTGTGCTTGCAGCTATCACTAGTGGCTAGCCTTGTGCACACAGGGAGATGCCTGGTATCAGTCTTTCCTGTCAGTGCATAACCTCTTTATCGAGACTTGAATTAAAACAAATAGAAAGGATTCTGAAAATATTGCAACTCACAAACTTTTCTCCATCCCTTTAAGCCTCCCTTCCTCTACCATTCTACCAACGTCCCACTGTCTGCCATGCCTCCCTCCACCAGCTCCAGTCAATCTGTTCTTTGGTACCTTTCTGCTACATCTATCTCATGATCCTCTTAATTCTTTCCATAATAGACCCTAAACATTCCAGTCTCCTTTACATAAATTCTGTCTCATATCACTCCCAATTGTGAAAAGGTCCTATACAGTCCATAAACATCTCATCTCCATTTTCTCTGCTGCACGCAAAACACTTGGTACGAGTACACTATTGTATACAAACAATTTTGCCTTCACACTGAGCTACTGAAACCACACTATTTTCATTTTGCTCATTTTATCTATCTCTCCCGCCCTATATTTTCCATCATCCTTAACCTATTTCACAGTGATGCCAATTTCAAAGTCATGAAGTGCCAGAGGAATATACAGCAAGGCCAACGTTGGTGTCATAAGTCCATTTTTATTTTAGTTTTTCTGAGCGATCCCGTATTCTGTTCTGGCTCTACTTTTTAGACTCTGTATATTGCCCTAGAGATTCTATAGTTCCACCCATACCCCTTTTCCCACCAATCACATAAATCTGCTAGACCATGTCCCACCCTCTACGCAAAATGAGAAACCATCATTCCAAACTTAGTGTGGCCGTTATATAAATATATACTAAACTGGTTTATATCCCAGACTTGCCTGGCATCTATAACCTTCACCTATACTTCAAATACCTCTTACTACTATTTGTCAATTGGATAGCCATGATGTTGCACTACTGCATAGGAGGTTTAACATGACCCCATAATGAAAGAAAAATGTATCTGTCTGACATAAGTTCTCCTGTTGTCATGGATTCTCTCTACTTTATCCAGAAGCCCACCAATATTACCACCATACTTGCTCTGCACTATCAACATGGCCTGCTAGAGGAAATACATTCTGAAATGTTCATAATTTTGATAGTACATCCATAAGCACAGCTTTACTTTATATAGAATATCAAGTGAGTTTCACATAATTTTGCTTAATATAAATTGCATTTATTACATCACTAATAATGTTCCAAGTAAATGTTATTGGAAGTGACGAGCAAAGACAGCGGGAAATGGACATTGCCACCTTATAGAGCAAAAGAAATAGAGTAATAAACATCACAGATATTGCTATAGCAAACCTCTATTTACCACATAATGATGAAAATATCCACTCTGACAGAACCCATTGGGCACACACAGTCCCAGCATCTTAAATTGTTGAAAATAGTGTGACATGGACTTGGGAACCATACTGTAAAGAATTCCTGGTCCGCCAGCTGCAAGGTCCTGCTTGGCTCTGATCAGTTGAAACACGAGGCAGCTCAGTGGTGACTGGCTGATGGGCACAAGATGCTGGAAATCCCTATCACTTCAGCCAACAACCTTGGGGCAAGTCAGGGAATCCACAAACATCACCACATGAAGCAAAGTCCTTTCTAATCCAGGGGATTTGCCTCAAACCTATACCAAATCACAGCAGATTAAGTCTAAGCTCAGCCGTTGTTGCAACCTATTTTCATTCTTTCTGATCTTATACTTTGCCTGCACTGATTATTTCATATATTAGTGAGTAATCTTTTCTCTCTCTATGATAGTGTCATCAGATTTTCCTTATCTTCATACATCTTTATATAATTGTATGTAAATCTGAGCATTACTTGTGTGTTACACTTATCAACTTGAAGAAAACACCACTGATAAAAAGTGCCTAATATTTTTGGTAAGGGTAGTTTCATCCAGCCATCTATTATACAGAAAATAATACATGCAAACCATAGAACAAATAAATCCAAGAAACTTATCTTCCATGTCCTTCTGTTACAACTTAAAAATAATGAGGTTACTAGACACGATGAAACGGGAAATTTACCATACATTCCATTCTGTCTTTTCCTGGCAAGGTTTACCCCGAGTCATACGAGTGTGAAAAACTAACATTCTACATCAACTGCAACATTAACTTCCCTGCCCAGATCTCTCTCATCCTCTGCTGCATTTCAACACGAAGTTAGATCTCCATAGACCTGTTACTGAGGACCAATTCTACTGACAGACGGATAATTAACATTAACGACTTAATTACAACAGACGGATAATTAACAGACTTAATGACAAGGGGCAAGGTGCAATTCCTCTCAAGTCGATTTCTTTCTTATGGAAGGAACCGAAGAAACGAAGTGGTTGCAGCGAGGTGGCAAGGAAGTCTTGGGCAATGTTGAGAACGATGATGTTACTGATATCTGTGAAACTGTTAATAACAATAACAAGGAAAACGTTAATAATGAGTGTCAATCATCTAGAAATCGATCAAAACTCTGCAAAGTCAAAGCCGGTGTCGAGCTAATGCTTCCTTCAACCCAACAATTATGTAAGAGATTTGGAACGTAATTGCCAGCTCTCGTGAAGTTCTCGACCACAGTTCCCGTCACTCTCGGAAACCAAATTGCGCCGCCAAACTGCCCTTCAAGACCTAAGGAATATATACCCGCGGGCCGAGAAGAGTGTCCTGGCGGCGAGCATCGTAACGCGTCCTTCCTCTGCGGCGGCTGGCGAGGGTCTGGCGGCCGCACGTTCCAACACTCTCAGGGCTGAGGATGGCGTGTGGATTTATCTCTTTTTGGGATTTTAGGGGTAATGGTCAATTTGTTGGTATTTATAAAATAAAGGGAATTTTTAAAGACGTATTCTAAGGTAAAATACTGGTTCCTTGCAGTTTTAGTGGATATAAATTATATGGCGTTTCTTTCTATTTTCTCTTAAATACTTAATGCAATTGCATATCAGATACAAAAACATTTTATGTGCATAATTTATTTAAAATAAGCTAATTAGGAGGAGGTACTTAGGAGTAATAGTGGCCTCGGTGTTTTTCAAAAGTGTTAGTGTTCTCAGAGTAAATATTGGTAAAGTTTGGGTCACTGGAAATATGTGTTTAAGGAGTCATTAATTAGAGCTTTATGAGTTTTTCATAAATTTCGTCACAAGACTGCTGTGTTTGCCGTGGAAGTAGCAACATATGGACTGCAGTGGATGTGAAATACAAAGTGCAGTGACCAGAAACGGCGTAAATAACCGGAAAATGTCGCACTGAGTCCGGCGGAGACCGAAGATGGCGTCGCCCTCGGGACGTGGGACCTCCACCTAAGCGCCTGCAAGTCCTTCGCGAGACTCAGGTGAGCTGCCAGCGGCCTCTCCGCTTCCCCTGCGTCGCTCGGGGGAGGCGAGAGATGTACAGGCGAGACGAGGGGTGGCGTGGGGGTCGGAGGGCAAGCGGGGCAGATGGTGACCTTGTCCAGGCCTCCCTTGACGTGACCCGACACGCCTTCGCTCGCCCTCGACCCTCACCAGAAGCCCTCGGAGTCGCACTTGAGGCGGTCGGGCGAGCGCGGGAGGGTGCGGGGCCCGTCCTGTCCGGAGCCGTCGCCGTGGGGTCGAGGGAGGCAGTGGTTGCAGCCGCAGTCTGGTGCCGCCTGAGTTGGGTCTGTTGGCGGTGGCTGGCTGCCTGGGCTGGAAAGCATGGGGAGGTCCTCACTCACGTAGTTCTAGTCCTATGCACTGTTGGAGAGGTTATAATTTGACAAGGGAACAGTGTTTTATCAAGCATTTGCACTCCGAAGATTATGAAGGCAAGGTATAGTTAGTAATGGAATAGACGGCATATATTTACGTGATAGAGGGCGCTATCATGCGGAAATCGTAGGGTGCCATCTCAAAGAGAAGAAGAAGCTAAACACAATAAGAAATTACGTCTCGACAACAGTCAGCGAGAGGCTAATGTTGCTGTCCAAACTCCTTGTCTTGCTCGTTTAGACTACTTATCAGGACTAGCAGATCAGTGAGGTTTCTGAGGTTTGCAATGCAACTAGCTCTTTAGCAATTACTAATTTTTTATACCATTGTCTATTTTACATACTGCATAGAATTTACAACTACTTATATGAATAGGTAACTTATCTGAGACTGCCAAACAATAAACGACCATATAATTACCTACCACTATTGTGGGGTTGTCCGCAACTGTCATTGTATACATACAAACGCGTCTTGCTCACCCGGCTGCAGAGGTGGGCAAGTTGGATGAGACGAACATCTTATTCCAGACACCAAAATGGGGGTTCCGAACTGTCAAAACATCTTGTCCTTCTTGTCCAATTTGTTAGATGAGGAGTTCCAAACACAGTATTAGAATTGTGTTTTTGATTATAACAATTGGGCCATTCTGGATAATATATCATTAGATTTATGTTTGTGTGGCGAGAACAAATCTGATTGTTATCTCCTCATCGATCACAGCCAACAATCATGATGTGATAGTCCCAATGGCAGTGGAGGGCATGAAGTATATCAGGGAATTATAGGGTAAAATAGGCAAAAATAAGAATAATATAGGAGAAAATGAGTAAAACCAGCAGAAAAATCACTACAGATGTGCCCACCATTTTTGAAAGCTTAGAGACTGCTGCATCAACATATAAAAAACTTGATGGGAATATAATCTATCTATAGTAAAATCTTTGGAAATTCACGCTATCCAAAGCCCCTGTGGTCTTCATACAAAATGTTCTACACACTAAACCAACCTAATTTAACCTCATGGGATTTATATAGTATGTTGTAGATTACCTAGCCATGAACTTCTATGAGGGTGATGCAATATGCTGTGCTTTATATAGTTCCAACTTAAGTGACCCAAAATGAATGGAGGGATGTGATTTAGCTAAATCAAATAGAATGTCAACATTTTCTCAGTTTGAATTACAGTTTGGTACATTTGCTTTTAGAAATACTTTGCTCACTGAAAACCATATACGTCGATGTAACAAAATACTGAACTTTTCCTCGCTTACATCGACTGTCGGAATTGTTTGGTTTCTAATCACTTTTTAGGATATGGGGCAATTGATGGGCTCAAAAATCAAACTGATAGTTACTAATATCTATTTTTTTTGTATAGCCACTACATTGCTTTATATATAACCTGGAATCAAAGCAAAACTGAAAAGGAAAAATTTCTCACTGCCTTTTGTTAAGGTCTCCATGGGCTATCAAAACCCCAGAGGCAAAAACACATGAGCAAAAGATTATTGTAAATAATAGTGCACGTAACTGTTATGATGCATTAATAAAAGTATATTACAAATAAAAGAATGCATTATGTATATGATTTAGGAAAAGCAGGCATTAATAATAAAAAAATCATCATTTTCCCAAGTGTGTAGTAATGTATGAAATACTTGATAGATCGCAGGTATGAGTTATATGGTCATAGTAGTGTTTATCATCACAGTGTAAACATGGTAAGGGACTTAGAAAAAGATGGGGCATTCTTCACAATCATGTATCTCCTTTATTTTTGGTTAGAGCACCTTTTGCCATAGATGAGAAGTGTCTCAGTATTCATAAAGGTAACCATTCCATACACTTTTTTTTCTTTCTCTTTTTACTGAAATCCTGATTGTCACTTTTAACCCCTTCCTGATGTGTCATGCCTATAGGCGTGAAAACAAACCGCTTGAAATGTGGTGTGCGGCTGTATGGTGTGGTGGCAAGCCAGTGATTTGGCTTGATGTACCGAACTCCCGCGCTCAAAGTCAGCGCGCTGCCATTATTCGCCAGAGTGTAGATTTTTTTTTTTAGTTTTCTTAACCTGTCGCCAAGAGGTTAAATTAAAAAAAAAAAAAAATCATAGTGTTTGGGAGTGGGTCCAGAGGCAGAGCTCCAGCCAGGATATGCATTGATCAGTTGGGGTCCCTGGTTAGGAAAGCTTTTTGTTCATATAGCAATGTTTGTGGATTCCCAAGAGCCCCCCAGAGCTGTTGACTGGAGTAATTGGGTCTGATCCCTTCAGAAATGGTTGCCAAAAATAATACTGAAATTAATGAATCTATCCTTACCATCTTTGAGAACATGACTTGGTTAGAAAGACATCCTCTGTACCATCTGTATTACAAAATGACAATGAAGGCATTGAGGAGGTTATATAAAGCTCATGTATTTCAAGAGCTACTCCAAGTGTCTCCTTCCAATACACAAAATGCTATAATTATTGGGCACAATTAGAGTAGAAGACATGTTTGTTAGAGATCTACTGAACCAGTTAGATATGCAGTTGAACATGTCTAAGATCTAAAGCCTTATTCTCAACCCTTAGTATTACTTGGGTAGACATCTTGTCTAGAACAGAGCACATGTTTGACAGCTCTTTAGCACCAGTGTGAGAGACTCTTTTTCAAGATAACCCATGGGTTACTTGGATAGAGCCCCAAATCAGATTACTATAGATAAATAAGTAGTATATGCCAATGACTGGCAATTTCCTCTTTATTTCCTTATTTGCAAGCATAAACGTAATGGTTTCAAGAGCTAGTAGATTATAAACAGAGCTTGAGTAGAAGCAGAAGAGGCCATTTTGTTCTTTCTATTTTTTTCTGCTTATAATTTGCAGTATTGTAGATATTTGGGGGTAAGCTTATCAAAGTCTTCTCAAACTTGTTAGCCAAAGATGTGCTCATTAAATATTTGTTACTTTAAACCTTCATCTATAACACAAGCATTACTAAGTTCATATAGATGCTCTACAGTGATGAGATGTAGCTTATGTTTTAGATGAAAGGTTAAATTAACCCAGTGACAATGGATATGTGTATTGTCTCCTATAGTTTTTAGTGAATTTTGTTCAATACAGATGGCTCCACATGTACTCAGCCACCAAAGAGTCTATCAGTAAGCCCTAGTGACTGCACCTGATTTCCCCCTTCCTTGAATTTATGGGAAAATGTGTTTTTTTTTTCTAATACATTAATATTGGTACTGTTAGTATTCTGTTTTATAATATGATTATTAAATTGTTATTAAAGTACTGATAACATTGAGACAACACTATAACAGAAATGAAGCTTTCCAAGAGTCAAGAAAAAGGGTAAATTGGTCAGATTGGTAGGACTAGTAGCTGACTCCTTGGTGACTAAACAAGGTGAACTTATATTACAGAGGGCCCTCTGTGCCAGTTAGGTTAAGAAAACATATAGCAAAACTATATTGGAAAATTGGTCTGAGAACTCCATTGGATGTGCATACAGTCATTTAATCTTGTGCCATAAAATTATATACATCCTATATGTAAAATTCTTTAGATGAGCCAGTTGCAGTTGATCTACTTAGCTATATTAGGTGAATGAATTTTCATTGATGTTCCCTGTTTCCAAATCACGTAGGGACTGTATCAGAATATGATTTTGAAATATTTGCGATTAAACAGTAATTGGAGGGAAATGTGCAATTGTGATAGGTGATTTAGGAATAATAGAGATTTACTGTTGCATTACTTTCTACAGCATTAGCACAGTATCAAAATTGTCTTGGGTGTATATATAGTAATTAGAGAATTTTGTTTTGTTGCATTTAGTAGAAGAAAAGCAATGAAGTGAGCATGTTTACAGTTAGAAGTCATGTTAGGGCAACTTTGATAGTTGAAATGATTTAACACATGGTAAATGTTTAGAAGACACCTAAAGTGGCTTCCAAAATAGGACTGTTCTCATTATCATTTTGACATTTTTGCATCCACATGAAACTTGTAATGGATGTAGTCCAACCTGATAGTAGTGCAGATCCAAAATAGCTGTCATAGCGTCTGATCTACATTCTTGGGTAAATGACAACAAACCTCAACTGTGTGTATTCTGGGAAGATAGAGCCTCAACAAATTCTCTACATGACATTGAATTTTCATGAAGGTCTACAATTTTTATCTCAAAATAATATATGTGGTGGAAGTAAGGCCAACAGAAGAGTCATGAGTGCTTGAACTTTTACTGGCACCCAACTTAGTAAACCCCAGTATGCCTGCCAATTTCATAATACTATGTTGGACAACTTCTTAATTACTAATTTACAACTTCTAACTATTATTATGGCTTTCTTATGTTAAGTAGAGCCTTTATACTTTCTAGAGCCATTAAGAAAAAATGATATATTGATATAAATAATAGTAATAGATAGCTAGACCAAATGCATGAGATGGAGCATTTGCATTTGCATATTCAAAACAGTTTGGTGCAGCAGACTAAGCTACTCAATTGCAATGTTACGATGATAGTTTAGGAACCAAATAGAATTCAGTCTTGAATTTTAATGTAGAATCACATGGTATTCCAAAAATGTTTTGAAATTAAATGTATTGATTATTTAGTGTAATTTTGTAGCATTGTATTATGGAATTGGTTAATAAATATCATTATTTTTATTGTTATGAAACTAATATTGAATGATTTGTTTCACAGCTGTTAGTACTGTGATATTATTATATTGTTATTATCAATATGATATTGTTATTACTGTTACTTAGTTTATTACTATTGTTTTTATTACAATCATCATTATTATTGAAATTTTAATAATAGTATTGATAACAATGATACTTATTGTTCATTATCATCATCATTGTTACCATCATCACCGTCATCTATTATACTATTATACTCTTATACTATTAATGATATTAATAGTGATGATGATGATGATGGTGATGATGATGATGATGATGATGATGATGATGATGATGATGATGATGATGATGATGATGATGATGATGATGATGATGATGATCAGATTGTCATGCTATTAATGAAGGTGCATAGTCAGACAGTTTAACAACTTCATTGCATTGTACTTGCCGGAAAGAAGAAGAATGACAATGACAATGATCGTGCGTTGGTATAGGGTTCTAATATGTTTATAATACAATGTGTTTGTGAATGTGTTATATATTGTTGTTATATTTATTAGAATTGTTAATATAATTATTATTAATTAATTTAGAATTGTTATTTATTTTATCATTATCATTATTGTTATTATTATTGTTGTTATTTTTGTCATTGTTATGATTATTACCATTATTGTTCCTATTGTTATTGTCATTTCTCTTATTTCTTGACCTTATAATTATTATTATTATTATTTTATCATCATCACCATCATCATCATCATCATCATCATCATCATTATTATGATTATTATTATGATGATGAGGATGATTATTGTTCTTCAATAATAATACGTCATCATTTTTGTTGTTATTTTTTACTGTTATTATTATATATTTTTATCATTGCCATTATTATTATTATTATATAATTGTCATTGTTGTTATTATTATTATTATTATTATCATTATTATCATCATCATCATATAATTGTCATTGTTGTTATTATTATTATTATTATTATTATTATTATTATTATTATTATCATTATTATCATCATCATCATATAATTGTGTTATTGTTATTATTATTGTATGTTATTATCAACATCGTTATTGTTGTTGTCATCATCATCATCATCATCATCATCATCATCATCATTATTATCATTATCAATCATTATCATTATCAGTCATTATCACTATCAATCATTATCATTATTATCATTGTTGTTGTTGTTATTGTTATTATTGTTATAATTATTGTTACTATTGTTATCTTTATTGTTTTTATTAATGCTGTTATTATAGTTATTGGTATCATTATTATTATTATTGATATCATAATTGTTATGATTATTTTATATAATAAGAATGGTGATATTTTTCTTTATTTATATTACGATAACTAGTAACTCATTGTTGATGGGATTGCAGATATGTATTAACCCAGTGACAACGGGTAAGACATGTATGTTCGTGCTATGCCCACTGTGAGTTACTTGTTTGATTGTTTTTACGCATAGATGGCAATACTTGTACTAAGTCACCAATTAGCCAGTTACGAGTACTGCACTGCCCCTCTCGCCAGTTTACCCTTTTCTTTGATTTACAAAATATTTTACATGATCTTATTTTGCTGTTACTAATGTTGAAAAACATATTAATTATAATGTTTATAATAAAAATAACACCATCAATATTCTTAAACCTAGTGAAAAATATATTTTTCTTGCCATTTCAAATCAGGCACTAGCAGAGCCATCTATGGGCAGACATTTCACAAAAGTAAAGAAAATAGGGACAGCATTTTCCCCCTGTTTTTTGTTCATTTTCCCTGGTGGCATTGGGTTAATGCTATATCCACTGTGATTATGATTTATTCATTGTTATACATAGATGGCTCCACACGTCACCATGGAGTTAATTACTATTCCTACCTATCTCACTTGGTATTAGTAATGTTAGTAATATTATGATAATCACAATGTCAGTAATAACAACAACGACATTGATATCAGTAGTATTTGAGGGGGTGAATTACTGAAACTCTAAGAATGAGGAAATCTTATTGGGTCATGTAGACCTACAATTGTAATATGTCATATCATTATTATTATTATTATAGTTATTATTATTATTATTATTATTATTGTGTTATAATTGTTATTATTATTGTTATTATTATCATCATTATTATTGTTATTATTATTATTATTATTATTATTATTATTATTATTATTATTGTTATTATTATTGTTGTTATTATTGTTATTATTATTATTGTCATTGTTGTTGTTATGTTAATGTTGTTATTATTATCATTAGTATTATTGTTATTTTTATTGTTCTTGTTGTTATCATTATTTTTAGTATTATTAAAATCATTTTATCATCATCATCAATATTTTTATGATTATTTTTGATATTGTTATAATTATTATTATCAATTTTTAGGATAATCCTTATTATCATTATCATTTTCATTTAAAGTTTAACATTATTATTGTTATTAATCTGTTGGATCAGGGTGCCTCACACCCTGCACTCAAACCAATATCCAAGCACTTAGCTGCCTTGAGTGGTGACTCTCCTGTGTGTGTGGCTTGTAGGCCCATTCTGCAGGAACACACACATTCAGAGACACTCCTCACACTTCTCACTCCAGGTCCAGCATCTCGTGCCCAGCAGCCAATCACTATTGAGCTGTCTTATGCTGCAGCTAATCAGAGCTGGTCAGGGTTCAGTGGGTGGAGGATCATCACTGAAATAGGTGTCTGAAGAGCTTCTGAGTATGAATGGCACACTCATCTCGGAGATCAAGATTCCTTGTCAATCCTTTGCAATATTGTTATCCCTTTCTTCATAAGCATAATTACCTTTATTATTATTTTTTTTTTGCCATATGCCAGGGTCTATGTTTGTCATTTGGTATGCTGTTTCAAGATTGTAATGGACTCTCTACCTTGAACAGACACCCTATTTTGTTTAGAAAGTCTACAACTTAATGTTATTTTTGTAATTTTAAAATATTCTTGTATTATTAATTTTTGTGCAAAACACACACTGCTCCACTGGTGATTGCAAAGAATGGGATCCTGAGCATGGAAATAATGTCCATCCTGGAGCCTGCACTCTTTGTGGCTCACAGATGGTACATTCCACTGAGTGTGATTTTCCTCCAAAATCTTTTTGCATTTATGACGAGCCACTCCCGTTATCCCAGAGCTCAGATGACTTTTTCATGATGACATTTGACAGTCACCCCAACTGATACCCATATTTTTTCATGATGGCATCATCCTGTCACCAGCCCTTCAGCCAAATTTTGCATGTGACTTTCACGTCACCTGAATCCAGTCATCTATTATTATTTATAATTATTGTTTATAATTATGGTGATAATTATTATTATAATCATCACATCATCATCATCACCATTGTCACATACACACACACACTGTAAATATACATACATACATGTACTTCTCTGTTTCTCTCATGATTACTGGTAGGCTACTGGTTACAGAATTATAATTTCATACTTTTCCTATGTAGAAAAATTATTTGCAGAGCAGCTGCAAGGAGAAGTCATATTTTCTTTGGTCAAGGACCAGTTTTTGTTGAAGTTCCTCTGATTATGGTTTCTTTTGTAGAATTAGGGCAAAGTGTAGATTTCTAAATTGTCAGCTACAATTTTTGCATATGAAATATTCCTATGTTAACAGTGGTATCTTCATTTTCATTGTTAGATATCTGTATGTAAACAAAAATCATAGGACAAAACTGCTCATAAAGGCAAAGTGAAGTTTTAGAGAATGGTGCCGCAAACAAAAGTGAGACACAATTCACTTTTCTGCTCACTAATGATGAAATATCATTTCCCATAGGATGAGTGGAGACGGAGGGGAGGAGGACCAAGTGGCAAAAGTGGAGGCTTCTGCTCCTATCTCCACCATTACCACAACAACTGCTACAACAACCGTGACAAACAATACCTCCACCACCACAACAATACAGCCGACTGCAGATCCTGTGGCTTCGTCATCATCTTCTGGATCAGCTGTGAATGCCATTGTAACCCCAACCACCACCACTGCATCATGTGCAGCAACCCCATCAGCAACATGGACTTCCCCGACAGTAGCAACCGCAGCCGAAGATGGGGCAGAGGAAGAAGAAGGCGAAGAAGAAGGCAGCACAGCAGATGAGCCCAGCAGCTCCCCAGAACGTGTCCTCATCACAGCAGAACAGCTAGCGGTGCTCACCAGGGAGGAGTTGGTAGAGAAATGGGTGCAGCAAGAGAAGTTCATTGACAGTTTACAGGCCAAAGTGGATGTGCTTGAAAGAGAAGGTGAGTGTTCTGTCTGATTCCCCCTTTCTATGTCCAGTTCAGAAGATGATGTTTCTCTTTGTGTTTTTAGGCATTTTCTCTGTATTTTCATTCCTTGAGTAGTTGGTATGTGATTTTTGAAAAGTTGTTTTTCTTATTAGTTGTATATATGTATGTATGTTTTTTGTTTTTTTAAGCTTTCATTGAACTCGGGAGGACTAAAAAGCATAAAAATTTAACTTTTGCTACAGATATTCCCCTAAGTTTTGTATTTGGTAGTGTTATTTACTCATTCTGTGACATTTAATTCATTGAGGTTCGCAAAATAGACTTGTCAACCAACTCGCTTGCACTTCTTTGTTTGTGATATTTAAAGCAATATATTTATTTTACAGGGAGAATATCTGCTGCTAAAAACAGGAAATGTGATCAAATAAAGCTTTTATTTAATTAGGTACATTCATGAATTAAGAAAAATAATATGCAAAATAGATTCACAAGTTCAGTTTTAAGAATTATTGACATTGGTAAAAGAGCTTTTTTTCCCTCATTTCTTTTTCCTGTTGTTGCTTATTATTTACTTTTCTCTTAAATAATTGTGAGTGAAGGAAGTAGTAGTTTAAGATGGCATTTTCTTTTATGAAGAATGATGAAATACAAACGTGATTATATAATTTCTTTTTTTGATCCCATTGCAATGACGTGACTATTTATGAACAAGAAATTTCTTTTCTAATTCCTCTTGCTCCTCCTCCTCTTCCTCTTCCTCTTCCTCTTCCTCCTCTTTTTCTTCCTCCTCCTTATCTTCTTCCCCCTCTTCCTCTTCTTCCTCCTCTTCCTCTTCCTCTTCCTCTTCCTCTTCCTCTTCCTCCTCTTTTTCTTCCTCCTCTTTTTCTTCCTCCTCTTTTTCTTCCTCCTCTTTTTCTCCTTTTTCCTCCTTTTTCTCCTTTTTCTCCTTTTTCTCCTTTTTCTCCTTTTTCTCCTTTTTCTTCTCTTGCTCCTCCTCCTCTTCCTCTTCCTCTTCCTCTTCCTCTTCCTCTTCCTCTTCCTCTTCCTCTTCCTCTTCCTCTTCCTCTTCCTCTTCCTCTTCCTCTTCCTCTTCCTCTTCTTCCTCCTCTTTTTCTCCTTTTTCTCCTTTTTCTCCTTTTTCTCCTTTTTCTCCTTTTTCTCCTTTTTCTCCTTTTTCTCCTTTTTCTCCTTTTTCTCCTTTTTCTCCTTTTTCTCCTTTTTCTCCTTTTTCCTCCTTTTTCTCCTTTTTCTCCTTTTTCTCCTTTTTCTCCTTTTTCCTCCTTTTTCTCCTTTTTCTCCTTTTTCTCCTTTTTCTCCTTTTTTTTCTCCTTTTCTCCTTTTCTCCTTTTCTCCTTTTCTCCTTTTTCTCCTTTTCTCCTTTTTCTCCTTTTTCTCCTTTTTCTCTTTTTTCTCCTTTTTCTCCTTTTTCTCCTTTTTCTTCTCTTGCTGCTCCTCCTCCTCCTCCTCCTCCTCCTCCTCCTCCTCCTCCTCCTCCTCCTCCTCCTCCTCCTCCTCCTCCTCCTCCTCCTCCTCCTCCTCCTCATTCCTTATTCCACTTCTTTGTTCATTTGAGAAGTACTTACCGTTTATTACACTTCTATGCAGATGAATATTTGGTTACAGTTGTTTTATAACTATTCTGTATTCCTCCATCTTTGTGCTTTTACCTCAGTTGAAGAGCTGCGTGGTGTGCGGGAGAATGAAGAGAGACTGAAAGGACAGCTGGCAGAGATTCAGCGGAAAGAACAGTATCACATAATGAGGCTTTCCAGTAAGGAGCATGAATTGCAGGACATGGGAGTAAGTTTACCTTTTTTACTTCTGTGGATATTTTGATGCCCCAGTATAGAGAACAAACAAATCTTTGTTACATGTTCAGTAAGAACAAACAAATCTTTGTTACATGTTCAGTAAGAACAAACAAATCTTTGATACATGTTCAGTAAGAACAAACAAATCTTTGATACATGTTCAGTAATTTTTACATTTAGCTATTGCACTTAGCTTTTGAACCCCCTTTTAGTGTTTCTTCCTGGTAACCTTGCTGAAAGCTAATAAATGTGTGAAATTCCATGCCTGCATTGACTTGACACTTGGAAATTTTTGACTCGGGAGTGTGTCCATTGGTTAAACAAGGTAAAATTGTGAGAAATCCTTTCTGCTCTTCAATGGACAGGCACTTGAACAACAGTTATCCCCTAGAGGTAGTGTTCTCCACAGTCAGTGCCATGGAAGAAAATGTTTATGAAGATTATGTTCCCTTTTTCTAGGCCCAGATCCAGGAGCTGAAAAGCATGTCGGCCGGCATGAGCGGCCTGAAGCACTGTCTACTAGATCCAGCTGTCAACTTGCTGTTTGAGCGGCTTAAGCGGGACCTTGACACAGCACGCACCAAGATGGAGGAGACCCAGAACGAACTCTCGGCATGGAAATTCACTCCCGATAGGTGTGCCCCCCGTGCTTAGTTTATTCGGCCGCACTCGCCTGCTCCCAATATCTTACTCTGGCAGCTATCATAAAAACAGTGACTGTTTTATCGATAATGGGGCTGAGCATTCCCTAGTATCAGGCTCATAATTACTTGTATTATAAAAACAAAAAGTTCACAGTGACTTTCCCTGGTTAAGGAGTTCCGTTCTCCCCATGTCAGATGTTAGCGATTTTCAGAAACTGACTGTTGATTGGTGAAGCAGCCACATATAAAAATAAAAACAATTGTAGTGACCATTCCATGTGTGCTGCAACCACCTGTACGTGCCCCTTTATATGTGTTAAGGGATTCGAGCAATATTCTTTTATTGACTTTCACATCCAAGTGAGTCTCATTCCTGTTCAGCTAGTCACCGTAACCGTTTAATATCGAGTGACTTTTTGCTCAACGAAGATATAGTCATTAAAGCCCAGTCGTAAAAGTGACTGTAGCCATCTTTTTGGAACGCTATAAAAGACCATTGGCTCCATAATACCCAAATTGACCATTGTATGTGCATTGGAAAATCTATTATGGGCTATGACTATGGTTATTGATAAAAGAAAATCAAAATAGATGTATGGGCATTAGAAACTCGTTTGGGTGGTAGAGAATCAGACAGTTTTTCGTGGCTGATGCCTGCCGTCTGTGTTGTTGGAAGAAGGAGAACTGTGGGTGATTGACGTTGGAGATGACCCTGACAATAGACATTCCCTTGAACTTTTGTTATAAATGCAGAGACTTAGTAGTTTTCTTCATTTCAAGACAAAGTAAAAACGTCTTATCATCTTCCTTTGAAAAGTAAGTGGAAGGTATTTGAACTTCTTGTTCTACATCTCTTAGATAGTAATTCTCTGATGGGGCCTTTGGGTTTCTTATAAACTCATGTTACTTTAATGATAACCAAGAGATAGAAATGGATGAAATGAGGTTCCTTTCATTTTTAATGTCAGTGGTCTCTAGAATTTGATTATATATGCTCTTATATATATATCTATATATAATTCCTCACCTTTAAGGATATATTTGTAGGTCACAGCTGCTGTGGTGTGGTTGATTATCATTATAAAGCAGTCAATGTTACCATTTTATCTCATGAAAGCTTGCCAGAATCCTTACATCTGTAGATATGATTTATAATGGTTAGTCATTTACCAGAAAAGTATTTTAAGAAGAAAAAAGATTTTGGGTAAATTGGCTGATTAGGAAAGGAGTGTGCAGGCTATTGTTGAGTATATGGGGATCTCAAAGATATTAAAATGCATTTATCAATTTTCACTTTTCTAATTTGCTTAGCTTCCTTAGAAGATTTTCTTTATGTGTGATGAAGAGCTTTGTAGCTGAAGATATTTGAGGAGATTTTTAAAGTTATTATTAATGTTGTTATTTTTTTGATGGTATGATGTATAAAGCAGAAAGGTTAAATTTTTTGTGTTGTTAATACTATTTATCTGTTACAGGGTATTCATCAGTACATATTTAGAGTATTTTTATGTGTTGTAGTTTTCTTCTCATTGAGTGTCATGTTCTTGGATTTGTAACTGTAAAACAAGAGGTAAATAATACATTTGAAAGTGTAGTAGTCATCGATATACACTCATGTATTCTTTTATGCATGTCTTGACACCTACATCCAAGAAATTTCTTTTCTCAGACCAACATAACTTTTAAACATTTCATATGATGTTTATTTGTTTAGC